GGCAAAGATGATAGAGACACTGTAGGGAGTCTGTCATGATCACCAGAAAGCAGCATTTGAATTTTCTAAACTTACTGCATGAGTAGAGATGTTGAGAATTGTAAATACGTACATTAAAAAATAAATACCAGTGTTTGGTGGCTAACTGTATGTGTGACTTCAAGGGATGTATGAGAGGAGAATTTAAGAAATTTCCACCTTTTTCAATCAGTTGGCCAAATATTAAAACGATGTATCACTGAAAAAAAAACTTATGGAGAAAGAGAATTAATTATATTATAAATTTGTTTTGAAATTGAGATGGCAATGTTAGGTTTATAGGTTAAAATTCTCAGAGAAGAGAACCAATAAATATAATAAATACAATATAGTTCATGCAATTACAAATAGGTGTTATGATTTATATATAATGATGAAAGCGTTTCTATTAGATTAGCCTACAGGATCAGAGGACAGGTGCTTCCACAAAGGCAGACTGAGAGATAAAGAACCAGAAAATCCAGTAATTGCTCAGTTCAAAGAGCCGGAACCTGGAGAACAAGAAGGACCCAGGTTTCAGTTCAGATCCAAGGCTGAAGGACCAGAAGTTCCCTAGAGAGTCACTGATACGAGTTTGCATTGAAAGCCTCAAGAAACCATGATGACGGCAGCAACAATGCACCTGCTCAAGCAGAATCAAGTTTCATGGGCTAACAGGTTCCTCATTCTTTCATTTTTGTTCCATACGGGCTGCAAGATTGTTGGATAGTGCTACCCATAGCCAGGGTGGGTTTCCCTCCCCCGTACTTCACTGACCTGCATTCCAGTCACTCTAGGAACACGCTCTAGACCATCAAACACTCCAGAGGTGTGTTACATTAAACTAGGCAGTTCTCAATCCAAACAAGGCAACCTTCTGAATTAACCCTTACAGAAAGATGTTGGATTTATGAGTACAGATGAGAAATTTGAACAATAAACAAAGAGATGGTGGCTGAGGTTGTAGAAGTAGGTGGGTTGCCCTGGATGGAGCACCCAGTGAGAAAATATGACTGGATGATTGGCACAAAGCAGGACAAATGAACAAAGGGAAAATTACGTAGAGATCTGACAAGAGAGTAGCAGGGAAAGTCCTTTTACACGTAAGGCCAAGATAGACTTTAAACAAGGGCATTGTTCAAACCATGTCCAATTTTCTCAGACATTTGAGAGTGGACTAAATATTGTGTATTGGAAAGTCTAGGAATACAGAATCCAATGTAGTCCTGAGTGAGGAGGGAAACTCCAAGTCTGGAATAGAGGGAGATTTTTCTATTCTTGACCTTTCACACTTCCTTGAACTCAATTTAAATGAAAAATATTAAGCAGCAAAATTTTAAGGGGAATAAATCGAGACAACTTATATACAGAAAAGGAATAATTTTTGTGGCAAAGACGTCAAAATTGTCAATCCTAAGTGCCAATGGAATGATTATTCTTTGATCTTAGGACAGTCACTTAAATTCTGTGGCAAGAGGAAAGATTTATGTAAATGCAAACATTTAGATTTTTATACTAGGTGGTTGGGGAGCTTTACTATGCATGGCTTCTCTTTCTCCATCATGAAAGATGCAGTGACATTTATGAAGAGCTGAAGGAGAAATGGCAGATTTGGTGTTCAGGAGAGATTGAATTATGTTGCAGCATTAATGATATAGACATAAATATTCCATGTACTGTTTCACAAAGAACAAAATTATGGAGTCTAATTATATAATCTTCTTTAATCATCTTGACAGATGAAATGAGAAATAGTATAAAAATAACAGAATATGTTAGATTATATTTTTTGAGCCATTTGAAATAAATTTTGCTTTTCTAGCCGTATCTACATTAGTAGGAAAATATTTTGTTTATATGAATAACATAGTTTTGATTCTTTAGACATCTGCAGATTTACCATTCCTTGTATATCTGAAAATACAATGTATATTTATATCAAATACTGCTAAATTTCTTGGAGAAAATTATGGCAGATATATTTGAAGTCAGAGACATGGCAAGTTGCCTAGTTTAAGTTTTCATAAACACTGCAGTATTGAAAGAAGGGTTTTAAAGTATAATTATGGAATTATATTATGGTGCAACCTCAAGGGGAAAAAAGCCTTACAGAAAATAAATAGGTATTAAATAAAAGGAAGTGTACTCAGAACATGCTTTCCAATGCTGACTCACTCATTTTATCTGATGTTGCGTAATCCTGTCACTTTCAATTTAACTAATGTGATATATCATTTCCAGGTGACATAATGCTGCTAAATTAATCATCTTTAGTAACCGAATCTACTTCTCTCAAATTTTTCAGTTGCTCAATAGATTTTGTTACAGCTTCATTAATCTGAAACGAAAGTTGAAAAACTATCAACAAGATTAAGGTTATTTTGTGTCCAAAGTGTGATTTTAAAATAAATAAAACTAACTTGGTTTCAAGGAGAGAAAGCAGTTTTTTCAATAATCGGTTAATCAATTTTCCCTTATATTGTTTTAATAGTTGCATCTGTGTGATGTTTTATTTATTATGTTACTCTCATTATGTCTGGAATATACAAGAAAAGCAAGAAGAGTAGAATAAAGGCAGGAAGTAGGAAATAGGGGCAGAGAAGATATAGAGAAAAGCATTAAAGGAGTTTGACTTACATACTAAGTGGATTAGGAAGACAGTAAAGGGATTTTAGAAGAGGGGTGGCATGATCTGAATTAGAAAGTTGATTTCTTTGGTTTCTATTTTGAGTGGTGCCATGGGAAGAAACAGTGAATATGGAAGCTATTAACGTAACTGAAGTGGCAGGTTATGGTGGTTTTGATCAAGACAGTATTTGGAAGTGGAGAGAACAGGACGTATTACATTTTACAAAGGAGAAGCTGAGTGACTGATTTTAATTTGGTTGGCATGTTTGAAACTGGAGTCAACAACCAACACTGCTGGCTTGATGAAAGCCAAAGATAGTTGATATTTGTTGAAACAGCAAAAACTAATAAAGACACAGATTTGAGCGAGAAGGTCTAAGTTTGCCATTTCTGTGTGGTAAGTGTGAGATATCTATCGGTGTGTTAAGTAGGAGGTCGGAGATGGGCACCTGAAATTCAAGAGTGAAGTGTAGGCTGGTGATAAATGTTTGGAGAATGCAGGCGTGCTGGGCCAGGAGGACCTGTGAGCTGCCTGCTAGAGTGATGCAGAAAGAGCCCAGGAGGAAGGGCCAAACTTTAGGACACTGTTTAGCCTCTCCATCTTCTAAGTCAATTTTTCTAAAGATTTGTACTTTTTAAAAATTACCAAAGAGCAATCTATTATTCTTAAGATTTTTGAAACCGGCCTGTGATGAAGTGAAATTTATAAGTGGAATGTACTGGCTCCTGAAACAGACATTAATTACTTTTCTGAAAACAAAAACAAAAACAAAAACAAAAACAAAAAAAAAAAACAAAAAACTCTGTTCTTAAATCATTTACGTACTCAGAGCTCCTTGACTTTCCCCTGGTGTTAATGAATGGAGGAGAATGCTTTGTATGTTGATGTGGGGTTTTCTTATTGTTTAGAGAACTTTCCTTTATTTTCTCCTTTTCACAAGGGGAGAATTTATTGATACGGGTCCCTCTGGACTAAACACTAGGATCTCAGAAGTTAAGTTAGGGGCGCCGAGTTATCAGAACGAATTGGACTTTCCCTGGTGAACCGAGACCAGCCCGCTGCTTTCATTTTACACTTGTACTTGCTGTTCTTTTCTTAAAAAGTGACTCTTTCATCTCGGCTCGGGATTAAAAAGTCACACCGTCTATTTAACTTACATTATGATGAACAGGAAATCGTAACAATCCACCGTAAAAGGTGGAGTTCTTCCCACTTTCCATGTGCTCTTCACGGTCCCGTCCTGACTATGGATCCCCTGCATAGTTTGTGGGACATCAGCCTCCTCCCTGCTGTGCTCCACGTTAGTGGGTGTGAGTTCTGGCGTCTTCTGCTGTGCTTTCTGTATTTCCACTTCCTATATCATTTTATAGCTTTTCAGAAAATTATTTCAATAACTTTACAACATGGATGCAGGTGCAGTGTTGATTTAAGGCTTAGATAACGAATTCAGGAAAAATATTCTTAAATTTTGATTTTTCTGGTTATTTTGCCTAAGATTTTCTGTGGTTCACTTTTTCCATTCTGTAGTGATGATCATAGTAAAATTTAATATACAAGATTACTGCTAGCATTAACTAAAGGAGTACATATCGAGGTCAGTTCCTGGAGCCTAGAATATTACTAATAATATTGACAAAATCATGAATTTTGTCATGAAGTTTTTAAACTTTTAAGTGTACAGTGTGATATTAGTTTTTAAATTCTAACTTATCAGAGATTGAATACACATTGAATAATGCAAACATTTACCTATAAAATTAAGAAAAACATAATAATAATAATTATTATTATTATTACAATTATCATTATCGTTGCTGTTATATATTGTGGCAAAATTTACAAAGTTTTCAACCTTAAGTTTTTATATAGTAATTTCTTGTGGCAATGTATTGACAGCTTTTGCAGCTGTTCTATATAAATTTTACGAGTCCAGCGACTGTATATATTTTTCCATCATCCAAATTTGTTTCTGCTATAGTTAGCCATTTATATTTTATAGAAAACAGATATGAATACAAATATTAAAATATTGAGGTAATAATTAATATGCAGGAATAAAAGGTCAGGATTAACGGGATAAATATAGAAATTAACTGATCAATCATTTAAAAACCTATGAAAGTAATGGTGTCTTGCTCAGTTTTCAATTCATGAGTTGGAATTAGTGACCATTTTCTGATTTTTCCCAAGCAAATTAGTACCTTCAACTACAAACATTTTAATGATTCTACTTCAAAAGCTATAATAATAAGAAAAATAAAAGACATAAAGACAATGAAAGAATTGTGTAGAAATCCTACAGCCAGATATTATAGAAACATGTGATTATAGTTTAAAAGTTTTTCTCTTTCAGTTTGACATTCTTCATGAGCTACATGAAAATGAAATGGAACAAGCATCAGTAAATATAAAAGAAGAATCTAATTATCAGAACAGCAATGATAGAATCATCTATGAGTTGAAATCAGAGGTAAGATATTGAATAAAAGGAACAACATATGTTATAATCATTAAGCTGTATATTATTCTAAGTAGTATATCTGAGGTGATTTGGTTACTCAACAATGTGTGTGTTGATTATATAGTGATTTTTAGCTTATATATGATTTAAAACACCATGGAATAATATTTACTGATGACTAGATCTGAACTATTTGAACATTAGAAACATAAAATATTTGACTGCAAAGCCACCTGATAGCCAATACAAGAGCTATTATGAGCAAATACTTGTTAAAGTTCAATCTGTTCCTGGGATTATATGTGTTTATTTTCAGAATCAGTGACCTACAAGACATGTGGCACACAGATTTTGGTGGAATTAATGCTGCTACTGGTAGTTAGCAATACTGAGATGTAGAATAAACTCACTTTTGTCATAAATAATTTATTTCTTAACTTTGCAAAGTAGTATGGTAGAAACATCTATTTTCCCTTCCTGTCTGCAGCAACAATAAATATATTTTCACAAATTTGTGCTCACAGTGCTTTCTTAGACTTAGAGATATTGGTTGAATTATTGTCCCTGGAGACAGGAAGAGGGGTTGAATTATTTATACTTTAGGGAAAATTGTGTTGCTGAATTAAAAATAGAAAACCACAAATTATTTGATAACAGATGATTCTGGAGAACATCTTGAATACAAACATGTAGGAACAAGTTAGGAAATGGAATGAAGTTAGTAAAATATAGGATTGGAGAAGAGTGATTTGTAGCAGGCATTTTGTTTCCTTTAAAATTCACTAAGCCCAAGATCACTGTGGAGTATGTTTTATGTAAGCTGCACATTGCATAATGGGAAGCACAGAAATTTTGGAACCGGAGACATCTCCATCACATGTTGATGAGTTTATTTTGTTCTCCTCCTTAAGCTTCTTTGTGTCTGAGTTTCCTGACTAAAATATTAGTTATAATGACAGTCATTCCACAGGAATTTTGAGAAAATTACATACTGTAAATAAAAACTTGTCTGAGACAGTGCTTTCATATTAGAAATTATTTCCAAACTGCTCTGAGGAGTTAGGTATTCTTTCACCAAGGCCGTTCTTGGTCTGTCCTGCACAGGTCACATAAAATTATTGTGGGGAAAAGTGTAAATCTTACTCAAAGGGAAAATGATTGCTTGGTTGCATTATTTCTTTCTAAAACGATTTAAACCATCAGTGTAGGTGATACTTTCTCTTTGTGCTCAATATTGAGAAGCTTCCTTGCCAAGCACTGCACATTTCATGAAAGCTGTTTAGCAGGTAATTATACAAACAGAAGAAAGAACATGCAAATAATGCTCTATACAATTGTTCTAAAAAAGGTTATTTATATATATATATATATATATATATATATATATATAGATAGATACATAGATATATCCTTATAACTCTCCTTAAAAAAAACAAGGGTATTTCATATATATATATCCTTGATACATACATAGTTATATATTAGAATCCATATATATGTGTATATATATATATATATATACACATATGATAAAGCTTTAAAAAGTAGTTTTAAGTTTATAGAAAAATTAGGAAAAAGAATAGTTCACACATATCCACCCTTCATCCACAGACTTCTCTACAACTGATATCTGTCATCAGTGTAGTGTGTCAGCGACCCAACAGAGATACATTATCAACCAAAACCCGTATTATCCTTTAAGGTTTAGTTTGTGCTGCGTACTTTATGAATTTTGACAAATGTGTTATATCACGTGTATACCATTTTCAGGGTACAGTTCACTGCACTGAAACCTTAGCAACTGCTCCTCGTTTTTGTTTTCTGCATATTTTCAGCCACAGTGTTATATGCTTGAAATAATCCCATTTTTCAAACTTCAGTTTGCCTTTTTTAACTTACCAATATGAATGTGAGGCTCTTCCACATCTTTTGTAGCTTGATAGCTTATTTCTCTCTAGTACTGAATTGTCTGAATGTACAACAGGTTGTTTATCCATTTACATTTTGGAAAATGTCTATTGCACCCATAGTCTGGTTATCATTAATAAAAAAAGTTCTCTAAGCATTTACATGCAGGTTTTATTGTGGGATTAAATTTTCAACTCACTTGCATAAATGCTAGTATTGCTGGATCATCTGATATATTTGCTGTGTAAGAATCTGCTAAACTATCTTCCAAAATGCTTGCAGCGTTTCCATTCCCGCCAGCAATGAGTGAATACTCACTTTGCAATTTTACCAGCATTTGGTGCAGTCAATATATTAAATTTCAGTCATTTTAATCGTTTTGTAGTGGTATGTCCTTGTAGTTTTATTTACATTCCCTTATCACATGTATATTGAACATTTTTCCTATGCTTATATCATCTTTGGTGCACTATGTGTTAATATTTTGGATAATTTTTTAAAATATCAGCTTATTTTCTTATGATTGAGTCTTTAGAGTTTCCAAGATATTTTAACAATCCTCCAGTAGATTTGTTTTGCTATTTTTCCAATTTCAAGATTGCAGATCTATTTTTCTAATAGATAGCAACTATTTTCAAATTTATAATATGCATTTAAACATCAATAATAACTTTGGTCCAAAGAATCTTTTAATGATAAATCCTCTTTTTAAAGTGATATGATTATTTTTGGATACTAACTTCTAATTATTTAAACAAATTCAGGTCTAAGCAAGTTTATTAGAGAAATAGAAAATGTAGAAAATAAACTGGACTTACACGATAACTAAATATAACTTTTGCAAGTCTGTTTAGATATATCATGGTTTTTTATGTTTGCATATAATTCAGTGTGCAACTGTACTTCTATTTAGTTAAAAGTAACTTGAATGGACTTGCTAATATTTTTAGATATGCTGTTGGCACTGTCATAAACTTCCACATGCGCATGCATATCTGTGTGTCTTATTTTTCTCATTATTGAGACAAAATACCAATGCCCAAATTTAAAGGAAGAAAAGCTTATTGTAGTTTTCAATCCATAGTCACCTGGCTCTAAAGTAGGATGGCATGATAGAGGAGAATCACAGAGGAGAAACAGTCCACACCAAGGCAAAGCCACAGAGGCAATCAAATAACAAAACAGAAAACCTTCCTTCTGTCCTTATATTCCACCCAGACTACTCACACTTTGGACAGGTAACACTCACACCCAGGGAGCTTCACATCCTTAATTCCAGCATCACACAACCTAGGTCAAGCCAACTCCAAAAAGTTCCACCTGTGACTACATTAGAGTTCACGATACATTAAGAGTTCATGGGGATCCTTAGGTACAAGTCATAACCCTAGGCATATAGTTTTCTTTCTTAAGTTCCTAAAAAATGATATAGACTACTCAAGAGAATATTTAGTTTTTATTATATATATATATATATATATATATATATATATATATATACAAATGTCCCATTTATATTCTCACTAAGTATAATTTAAAACTTTAATATATATAACTCAAACATTCAGAAACTTCTCAGAGAGAAGAAGCATAGCATATAGGCATTTAGGAGTCAAGAAACGGCATAGTGGTGAGTTTACTAGGTCTGCTGGCTTGCAGGCTCAGAATTGGAGTAAAGAACCTGGGAACACCAACAGTCACAGACAGAAAAACAAACATGTAAAATAAAGATGCCACTTGGATTTTGCTAAAAGACTAAGGAAGCATTTTCCTAGTAAGACAAAACTTTTAGAGGAATATATATATATATATATATATATATATATATATATATATATATATGTCTTTTTGAGCCAGGATTTCACTATGCAGTTCAGGCTGACCTTGAACTCAGAGAAATCCTCTTTCCTCAGCCCCCTAATTGCTTGAATGATAGGCATGCGCCACCATAATGCTTGAAACAAATTAAATACCACAGAAAGATATTTAGAAGTATTACCATCCCTACTAGCAAAGTCCATGTGAGACTACTTAGGTCTACTCTGGCCAGCCGTGCAGAACTCCTCACCACTGAAGGCAGCCGAAAAGCCTGAACACAGTCAGGACTTCATCCTTCTCTGTGAGTAGTGAGGTCCTGCCTCTGGCAGTGTCAGGAGAAGCCCCACTGGAAGCATGTGCTTCATCCCCACCTTACCAGAGACAGTGATCCTCACCCACCCCATTCAGGTGTTAGCTGAGGCCACATGGGTGACCTGCACTTTTGCCTTCATTTGACAGCAACAGGACAGAGCTTTCCCTTCTGACTACAGAGCAGCATGTTAGGCACACTGAAATGTAAAACACAACATGGGTGTCATCCATTTTTATGGCATATGGATCCAAATATCCAGAATACAATAGAATGTTATTTATCATACCAAGATTAAGACTATTTCAAAACACATGAAACAAGACAATGAAGAGATGCCATCATGAGAATATGGAGATGTTTCAATTATTTGACACGAATTTTGAAATAGTTCTCATGAAAATGTTTAACCCAGCAATTGTATGTGTGAAACAAATTAGTACAACAGGAATTCTCAGTGAAAAAGGTGAAATTCTTAACCAACAAATGGAAAATATAATGGAGGTACAATGTAGGAAACAGAATTAAAAATACCAGAAATTTTTAAAAAATGAATGAAATAAAGAAAGGAATCAATGATTTCAAAGATAAGTGAATGGAAATATTCTATCTGAATGTCAGAGAAAAGTGATTGGATAAAATGGAGGCTAATGCATGTGTGAGACGTATAGCAACAATAAAAACCTATAATAGTGTCACTGGAAAGAGAAATGGGCGGTTAACACTGCTAAAAGGAGGTGAAACTCCCCAAATTTAGGAAAAGGGTCAATTTACACTCCAGAAGCTTAGAGAACTCAAAGAAATATTATTCCCATGATATCTATGTGTATTCAAATCACAGTCAAGGTCATGGAAAATTAGGAAAAATATTTTGACAGTATAAGAGGGCACCACAAAGGAAAACCCATTCTGGAAGTGGCACACAGTTGTTCAAGTTTTAAACATCTTCTGATTAAACTGCCATTTCAAAAAA